AAGGCTCACGCTGCACCCTGGCCTGCAGCATCCAGCTGTGCTCACTGCATCTCCACCTGGGGACTCGGGCACTGTGACTCAGGCGGAGGGGGGCATGTGGGGGCGCAGGGGCCCAGGTGCTGCCCAGGGCCCAGAGGTCAGTTGGGACCTGCCCTTCTATGCCAGACGCTCATGCTTCGATCGCTGGCCAAACCTAGGGACCACACCCGTGCACAGATTTCATGCACCTCTAGCAGTCTAATAATTCTCAATATTATGGTTTGGAGGAGGAAGCATTGACTACACAGTTTTATATGAATACTTTAGAAATATTTTTTTTAATTCTAAATCTAAGAAGCATTAAACAAAACTAGGTTTCTCTAACCAGAGAACAGAGGATTACAGTCTTTGAGATTAAAAACTAGTAAATCACACACACAAAAACTTGAACGTTAATAATTAGGGACCATTCATGAGATATTAGGTACTAATGTCTTTAAGTGCTACATTACTCAGGTCTCCTGGTGGGCTTTTACTTTTCCTGGATGGATTTTAACTAAATAGACTTTAGACATTTGGATATAGATAAATGCCTAATTCAGTAATTAGTATTTTAAAACTGTGAAACCTTTTAAGTTAAGTGGTCTATTAATTAACTACCAATTATCTTGTCTGACTACCGTATCAATAGAAGTAAATTACCAACTAGCTATGTGACAGATTGAGTCCTTTGCGATGCAAAATTTCTCCTGCACATAAAAGGCCTGCAGCTAAATGCTTTTGCTTCCCCCTTTTGGTTAATCAGGGATCAATGTGCTGCTCACATCGAAAGGCCAGGTGCAGCTCCTTGGTCAAGAAGGATCTACAGATAAACTATCTTCTAGAAACAGCAAGCTAAGGCTCTATGCTTAAAAATAACAAGTGAGGCCATGTTAATGTTTTGGGGGGAAACATGGGTTTGCAGTTCCTGTATGGAGGCCAACTTTCTATATTTCTCACCAAAATACAGAAAACCTGAGATAATGACCAACAAAGGGCATGGTATTGTATACACTCTGCATGGTCTCGTCCTCACCGGGACGGGTGCACAACAGATTATGCTGACTAGAGCCTGCCCCCAATCTATCACTTCTTGACTGGTGACCAAGAGAAGGTTCCTAGGGAGGTTCCTGGTGATGGAAGAGTACTGGAGGGTGAAGGGTGAAGGATCACAGCAGACAGGAGCGCTGTGCAGAACAGTGCCACGTCCGGTAAAAACCGCCAACGTGCATGGGAGTAGCAAGAAGCAAGGAAGCAGTTGGAGAAGGAGTCCTCTCCTCAAGGCCTGGTCACTGGGAAATGGGAATGGACACCAGGCATTCCACTTGAGCTTGATTCCAATTCGCATATTCACACCAGCCCTCTCAAAGTCGCCAGCCTCACGCCACCGAGCAGACTTACTGCACTACAGTAAAGATGAGCATATAGGTGGGGCAGGGAGAATGGAAAAACTGCAGGAAAGCAAAAGGAGATGTGCACGGTACCTAACGGGAGACAGCCCCACTGTGAAATCTCATCGATCGTTCCCAGCTTCAATTAGTCCAGCATAATGCTTACCTTTGGAAGCTGCAGGGCACACAGACCCATGTGAGCATGCTCTGAAGAGTTGGTCTAAATATTTAAGCAGAAGCCTGGCCTTGATTATCAAACATTTATTGAGTGGCTTAGGACTCAGTTCTGTGCCAGGAGGGGGAAGCAAACAGATGCATAGAATAAGCTGCCTTCAGACTGTGTGCCATCTACTGCGGGTTTCAGAGCACGAGGTATGAAAAGTTGCACCAAAGAACACAGCCTGTGCGAGGCTGCAAGAGATTCACGGCAGGAAGAGAGAAAGCTCGGACCAGTCATTTTGCTGTAGCTTCATCAGAAAATAAGAGGTTGGAAAGGATGATCTCTAAGGACCCTTGCAGCTCTAATATGCAAAAACGCCAGAAAAGGTTACAGCAAGCACTTGAGCGAGGCCTTCAAAGGCCGCTGGAGGAGGGGAGGAGGGGCGGAGGGCCTTCCAGGCCGGGAAAGAGAGTGAGGAATGGTTTTCAAGCAGCAGCTTTTTGGTGGACCCCCACATGACACCCACGTGGTTTTCTATTTAACTGCATATGACTTTCACTCGGGGTCAGGACTGCATGCTATTGATTATTTTATGAAAACCACCAACAACTGCTACTTAAAAGTCTGGTTCAAGATGATCTGTTCAAATGACTGGACAAGTCTTTGCTCAGCTGATCTACTTTTAAAAAATGTTTTGGACAACTTTTCCCCACCTGCATACGGTCAAAAGGCACACTGGTGATTTTTTTCTGGAAGAGAACAGCACACGCCAACACTGAACATCTCTTAACAGTTACCAGAAACATCTTCCACTAAGAGGGGCCACTGGAAGGGGAGCTGAATTCCGGTGGCTCTTAGGCCATGTAGCCCCCCCAACCCCCCGTCCCCCCAAAGAATCACTGTAAAAATTAACATGATAGTAAGTCTTCTTTTACATTTTAGTTGCTAGATCTTAAAAGGTTTCTTGGCAAGAAGTGAAAAATGCTAACTAGAAAGCGAATTTTCGGATTCAATATTGAAAATAAATTCTTAAGTTTAGATGCTTGGGGGAAAAACAGCTGGAGAACTCAGGAGCCTCCCATATTTTAATATGAAGTGACGTCATACGGTCCAGGCTTCCAAGAACTCCCTAAATTGTGGAGTTAGGCAACATCTCAAAGGGCCTCAGGGAAGGTGGTCTGTTCCTGCGTGCTGTGTACTAGTAGATTCCGCTCCACGATAATCCTGCTACTGGAGAGGTGACTGGGTTTTCTCCTTAGGTTAGAAAGCAGCCTAATGTTTAGGTACAGTACATTAATTAATGTGTATTTTCAAAGCCGAAGCTATGGCTTTTCTGTGCTTAACACCCACTAAATTAGCTCTCATTTCATAGGGCCTTTAAAGAAGAACTGCTTCCCTCTTATAAGTACTTAACTGCAGATCATAGGGGATTTCTGGAAAAATCTGGTTGCGTTTGAAATTTTATAGTTCAGCAAAATGAGCATGCAGAGAAAGTAAGTGGTTAGACTTTAGAGCAGCGGTTCTCAACCTGTGGGTCGCGACCCCTTTGGGGGTCGAACGACCCTTTCACAGGGGTCGCCTAAGACTATCGGAAAACACATATATAATTACATATTGTTTACAGTAGCAAAATTACAGTTATGAAGTAGCAACGAAAATAATTTTATGGTTGGGGGTCGCCACAACATGAGGAACTGTATTAAAGGGTCGTGGCCTTAGGAAGGTTGAGAACCACTGCTTTAGAGTATTTTGTGTAGATAAGCGTTTAGAGTTCAGAAACTGAGCATCAGCTCCGTCAAAGGTTATCGGAAAAAGCCAGTCCCGGTGCCGGGGTTCATAACTAGCCTCCCAAAGACTGAATACCTGTTGAGGATGAATAGCTGACTGAACTCAAGTTTCCATGGCAGCTTCACCCTTACCATTCTTCAAACAGGAAAACTACAGTCCACCTGCAATGTATATACATCTTCTGTTGCTAAGGAGACTGTTTCACTCAGAATTATAAGCACACGAGACTCTGGATAAGCTGTGTTGCCCAGTTTGTTCAGTGGCCCCACCCCTGTCACCTGCCACTGCGCTTGTGGACCCGCGGCAGCAAGGGCACCCACCCCTACCCCCACTGGGCACATCACCCACTCGCTCACCTCCACACACACACAAGCACACTTAATGCCCCCAGACTGCATCTGGTCTTCTCCTTCCTCCTCTAAAACATGACATGCGTTAACCCACAACATTGATATGTTCATTTCTAGAGGGTTGAAAATGAATTAAATAAAGTTCATGTTTGAAAATAAAATTTATAAGCTTCTTCCAGGATAAGAGAAATGGTTTGCTGTTAAAAGAGCAACACTTGACTTAAGTACTTCTAAAGCTAGATTAAGTTTTTAAGCAGTTGCTAAAAAACTAGTGAGGTTTAAGGTGACCTATTTAGGAGAAACAGTTCTTCATTGTGTTCGATTAGAAAGCTAATCTGCCTATGGAAAACACACCACACACACACACACACACACACACACACACACACACACACACACACAGAGTCCTTTCTCCTTACCCTTTCTTTATCGGACCCCACTTCTCTACAAAAGTAAAGGGGGAATACTCTGGGGAAGTAAGGCAGAAAGTGGGTCAACCATGTACAGTTACAGGGGAGGGTTTCACACCTACCATTACTGAATCAGTTCGGCTGAAAAACTGGGTTAGTTTGGTCCCTCGAGCAGTAGAAAGCCCTCGCTCTCATCCTCAGGCGCTGTCGGAGCTCGGATGTTCTCCCCATCACCCAGGAGCTGACGTCCTCGATGGTCTAAGTGTCTGCTCCCCCAGATCTCACAACCCTCCTGCCCCTACGTAGGGACCCTGTGGTCCTATAAGGGTGGCTTCTGTCTCCTGCAAGGCCTCCTCTAAGCTGAGATGGACTCCAACAGGACAGTGCCCCGACCCTGCGATGGTCCATGATGTGAAGAGCCTGCCAGGGTGGCCTGACTGCGCCCAGGGGACCACAAACGCTGATCTCAGAATCCCTGGCACTTCCCAAAATGCGGCCGAGCAGTAATTTGGAAGCCTAAACTCTGACTTTAGGAATTCATAAGAACAGCCGATGTTTTACAAACTCAACGGAAAGTAAAATAAACAAACCCAGGATTTTATGCTTCCTCTTGTTATTTTTATGGCAGTCTTTCAAACTAGTTCAAAATGTTCAGTCCTCTACCCTCTCAAGAAATGCTGAATTGGGGGTGGGGGCGGGAAACAAACAGCGATTTAACAGTAACCGGTGAGTGAGCGACGTAATTCGCCGCCGGGAACAGTGCAGAAGGAAGCTCTGAGGTGGGAGTGTGCAGGTGGCTTTCAGGCTGGCACTGAAGTTTCTCTCCGTCCCCCGCTTCTCATGGAAGAGGCCCCAGAAAGGAACAGAGGATGTTTATATTTACCCAGAAGTGTGCGTGGCAATTGACCATCATGGTTCTCTCAATGAGCTCATCAGGACATTCCAGGAGGTGGTGCCCAGAGACCACGCCGGCGTTATTGACCAGGACCGAGACCTCGCCAACCTCCTTGCGGACCCTTTCCGCCGTCAGGTAGACATTCTCCCTCTTTCCCACATCGCAGGTGTAGGTGAACACCTGCAGGTTACAGTGGGGCAGGATTTCTTCCTCGCCATTCCCAGCTGTCCTCAGAAGTCCAGATGAGGGGCGGGGGGGAATGGAACAGAGAAGGGAGGGGGTGTGCAAAACGTGAGTCACATGGCAATCAGTAGGACAAAGATCACACAAAACAAAAATTCTACAGTGAGCTTCAGATTTCTAACACCGTGAGGCTTGCCAATGGCTGAGCTTACAGCTGCTTCCCTCCCTGAAAAGTCTTGGGGAATTACAGCAATTTGCTGGAGAGCTTTGCTTAGGGGGAAATCATGTAACTGTGACAAGCCCAATACAAGTCAGACCTCATGGGATCAGCTTCCTGGAGCGAAAGACACCTGGAAAGAACTGATCTGGGCCCAGGGAGCAACACCCCTCCTCCCAAGCACACACAGTACACACTCCTCTTTGGGTGGGACAGCGGCCAGAAGTGGATTTTACTCTTTAGTATGAGCACCCTCAAAATGGAAACTCGCCTCAAGGCTCACAAATCAACACTGTAACTAATAATCTGAGTTCATCCAAAGCCAATAAATGATCCTAGAGTTTCTCAGGAAAAGCGCACACTGGTGTGTTCGAACTGGCATAGCACCCTTACACAAATCAAGGTCACAGGTAACCATGCCATGTTATCACCCGAGAACTCAATTTAAAAACCGCAATCTCTGCCCTGGAAAATGAATAGCTTTCTCTCTTTTCGCAGGGAGCACAAAAATCTGTGTTTGCTGCCCTCCAAACCATCATTGAAAATGTAACATTTTTAACCTTTGATTTTTCTGACCTAAACAGCAGGTACCAATAATTTTGGTGACAAATGATCAATATGGGGGAGGGGTGGTGCCCAAGTTAATCTTCTCTGTACAGTTCAATGTTTTCCCTGGAAACCAAACATCTTGTTAAAAAGCAAAAGTGATTGTCAAATTTCCTGGCCTAATCAATCCTTATGTTTGGTGGTGGTCTCCACGTTTGTTTGTTTTTAAAGTCTCAGACTCAGGTCAGTTGATAAATATACAAAAACACAGATTTCCCGAGGCTACCAACAACATGGAAAAAATTTTCCAAAGGGCTCAAGTCATTCAAGCTCTGTCTCAAGAAGCGGGTGCAGCGCGTCTTTCCATCAGGCTAAGTGTCTAACTAAAGTACGTACTTATCTCTGGTGACACAATGTAATTATTTTCTCGTGATTAAAGTTACAGTGAAATCAGCGCGGCCCTCGTCTACGAGGCTCAGACCACAGGAACCAAACGTGCATCTGTCCGCTCCGAGAACAACTTCCCAGACAAGTTTCCCATCGCCAAGGCGATGGGGGCATTTCTCTAAGATTCTAGCCTGTGGACACAAGTGCCCTCGGCCTTCCCCGTCCTCAGAGACACCGGACCTCGGCTAAGACAAGGGTTTGGCACACGTCCCTTTAAAACAGAGGCGATCGCGCTCCTTGATGGGGAGGGCGGGGGCCGTGTAGGTGTGTGTATGGGGGGAGGGCATGTCTCTTCCAGGACAGCCAGGCTGACCGCAGCAGTGGGGTTCGGGGGGGCCCCCCCAGGTCGGCGCGGGGCCGGGGAGGGGCTGGACTCAACAATGCGGGCGAGGGCGGCGCGGGTGCGGGTTACCTTGCAGCGCCGCGGCGTCCGCCGCCTCCAGGTCGCGGTAGATGTGGCG